TAATAAGGACAGCTTATCTCTACAGATATTTATGGGCATCTATATATCTATATTATTTATAACTTTTTCATCTGGATATTTGTCTCTGGTCCTTCTATGTATCTTATTATTGTGGTAAAATATATGTAACATAAATTTTACTGTTTTAACCCTTTGTAAGTGCTACTGAGCTCAGTGGCATCACGTACATTCATATTTCTGTGCACTGTCACTGCAACCATTACCAGACTATTGTTTATCTTCCTAACTTGAACCTCCATACCCATTAAACACTGACTCACAATTCTTCTCTTTTTGAGCCGCTGACAACCACCATTGTACTTTCTCTTTCTATGAATTTCAGTATTCTAGGTACTGCATATAAATGGAATCATACAGTATTTGTCCCATGACCACTTTATTTCACTTTGTGGAGTACCTTCAAATTTCATCCATATTGTGGCATTTGCCAGAGTTTCCTTCCTTTTTAAGGTTGAGTAGTACTCCTTTGTGAGTATAGACCACATTGTGCTTATCTCTTCATCTACTGATGGACAGTTAGGTTACCTCCATCTTTGGCTCTTGTGACCAATGCTGCCATGAACATACATGCACAAATATCTGTTCGAGTCCCTTCTTCAGATTCTTTTGGGTATATCCCCATAAGTGTAATAACTGGTAACTTTATGTTAATATTTATGAGAAATCATTGTATCATTTTCCATAGTGGTTGCACTATTTTGTTTCCACTAGTTGTTTTATGTTTCAATTTCTCCATATTCTTTGTAATACTTGTTTTCTTTTTTTCAGTAATAGCTATCCTAATGAGTGTGAACTGATATCCCATTGTGGTTTTGATTTGTGTTTTCCTCATTTCCCTAATGATTCATCATGTTGAGTATCCTTTCATGTCCTTATTAGCCCTCTGGATATATTATATATCCAGATATTATGTATAGCCCTCTGGACACATATATCTATATCTATATATATATACACATATATATATATATATACACACATATATATATATATACACATATATATATTTATATATATTTTTTCTGGCTATTAATCATTCCTCACATATAAAATTTGAAGATAAATTCTCCTTTTGATAAGTTTATTTTTTACTTTGTTCATAGTGTTTGCTGATTCACAAACCTCTTTTATTTAAATTTTGATGGACTCAATTTGTTTATTTTTTCTTTTGTTGCCTGTGCATTTGATGTCATAGCCAGGAAATCATTGTCAAACCCAATGTCATAAAGGGTCCCCTGCTATGTTTTCTTCTAAGAATTTTACAGTTTTAACACTTATGTTTATGATCTTGATCCATTTTGAGTTAATTTTTGTGTATAGTGTAAGATAAGGATCCAAGTTCATTATTTTGCATGTGGATATTCAGTTTTCCCAAAACCTTTTATTGAAAAGACTGTCTTTTCTCCATTAAATTGTCTTCATGCCCATGTTGGAAATAATTTGGCCATATATATGAAGGTTTATTTCTGGGATCTCTATTTTATTCAATTGGTCTATATATGTAATTTTATGCCACTACTATGCTGTTTATATTATTGTAGCTTAGTAGTAAATTTGAAGTCAGGAAGTGTGAGATGTCCAACTTGTTCCTTTTAAAGATTGTTTTAGCTTTTGGGGTTCCTTGAGATGCTATGTGACTTTTAGTTTGGATTTTTCTCTTTCTGCAAAAAACAGTAATTTGATTAAAAAAAAAAGTGTGCATTGAACCTGTAGATCGCTTTGGGTGATATTGACATTTCATTAATAATATTATGCCTTACAATCCATAAACACTACATGTCTCCCCATTTATTTGTGTTTTCTTCCATTTCTTTCAGCAGTGGTTTATAGTTTTCTGTGTAGAAGTCTTTTGTCTCTGTGGTTGTTTGTTTCTAAGTATTTTATTTTATTTTTTGATATTATTATGAATATGATTGTTTGCTTAATTTCCTTTTCAGGAGGTTTGTTGTTAGTGTAGAGAAATGAAACAGATTTTTAGATGTTGAATTTGCATCCTGCAATTTTGCTGAATTTGTTTATTAGTTCTAACCATGGAATCTTTAGTGTTTTCTACATATAACATCTGCAAACAGATATAATTCTACTCCTTCCTTTCCAGTTGGATGCCTAGATTTTATTTTAAAAAAATTACAAAAGATAAAATGAGGTTCAAAATGTTACATGATTTGCCTGAGGCCACCCACTAACAGGAGCCAGAGTTTCCAGTGGCCTTGGACATGGCACATCTTGAACTGCACTACACTGCCCCCTACTCTCTCCATCCCTTGGTCATGTCATTATAGCAGCTGAGTCAAGAAGGCAGCCCTTTGTCAGCTGGCTTCTGGCTGTGGATGTGCTATGTCACCTCCTCTCTTCAACCTCAGGTAGCTGTGCATCTGACTCAAAATTTTTCAAGGTCTCTGAGAGTTATGACAAAAGCACCATGAAGATTTATTTGAGGGTTACAAATAAATTTTAGAGGCCAGACAAATTCACAGATCTGTGAATAATGAGGCTCAACTGTTTATGTATCTGATTTGAAAATAAAAATGGGTGTTTAATTTTTAAAAATCCATTTAGCTAATAACACCACACTGATACACTCATTTTTCAAAAACAAATACTCAGTAAACGTTTATATGAATCAGACTGCTCGCTAGGCTTTAGGGAGATAGAAATGAAGAAGTTACGGCTTCTGATCTCTGGCAGCTTACAACTTAATATGGGAGAAAAGTATATAAAGAATAATCACACAATGCTATGAGTGTACACTTCAGTTACAATAATTTCCATCAAAAAACCTTAAAACCCAACTCATGTGAATTTGAACAATAAAATAATGCATTGCTTCAGATCATTGAAAACATCCTGAGACTGCTTAATTTTAAAACATGGCATGTGCGCTCCTGGGTGGCTCAGTCGGTTAACATCTGACTTTGGCTCAGGTCATGATCTCACATTTTGTGGGTTCAAGCCCCACAACAGGCTCTGTGCTGACATCTCAGAGCCTGGAGCCTTCTTCAGGTTCTGTGTCTCCCTCTCTCTGTACCTCCCCTGCTCATATTCTGTCTCTGTCTCTCAAAAGTAAATAAATAAATAAACATAAAAAAATAAAACACTGCCTGATCATCTTTCTGCCTCCTTTCTTGTTATCTGCTCACCTCTCCCTTCTGCTGTGTCTCAGCTCCAACCTCAGGATAATCTCCTTGGTGGTAGCAAAGTGTAGAAGCCTCGTATCTGCACACCAAAAGGTTCAAAGCAAGAATAAGAAAGATTTCTTCTCTCATCCTTTGAACTGAAACAGTCTTAATGCTGAAATATGACGACTTCGTCACAGCAATAACTGTGACCAGAGCACTGAGATCACTCTGAATGATATGCAAATCAGGATCCCTTCCAGGAGATGAAGATGGAATTGTTCGCATCTAGCACGATAGTATAGCATATTGTGTCAGGTTAGAATTATGCTAAGTGCAACCACCAAGTGCACACTAGTGTTACATTATACGAACAGGTATGAAGTAATTAGGAATGATAGAGGAGTACAAATAATTGTGCTTTGAAAACTACATTTTTCATACAAAAATATTGAGGTGACAATAAGGATGTTACTGACAGGGTTAATGCTATCAAGCAGAAGAGAAGAAAGAAACTGCACAATGGAAGACATTTACCAATGGTCATTATTGAACATGTATTATTATAATATTATGTGAAAATAAAATAATAAGTCTCCATGCATTATCCAGGTCTGTCTGTAAAGGTAGCAGAAACACTGTAGAGATTGAAAATGTGCACATTAAGTATTTCATTCTATTCTGGCTTTGACGTGTTTCTTATTAAGTTCAGATATCATATTAAAAGTCATGCATTGTATGTCAGTGAAATGCAATGTGCATGTTAGGATGATCTATAAGAAAGGGTATGAGAATGCCTAAAATGTTGTCAAATCTATCCCATTCAGCCATTCATCTTGTTACTTGGATGAAATAGAGGTAGATTAAAAGGTGATGAAAACTAATATATTTAAAGAAGTTGGTGTAAAAATTTCAACAGAAAGAATAGGGACAATATAAAGGCATAATCATGAAATATAATCATTTCTAGTAGACTATTTCTGGACAGTAAGAACATTACAGACTATAATAAGCCTAATAGAACTTTTTATTTCATTCTTTCTAGTTCATTTTCTTTATTGAGTTCACAATCATATAAGCAACTAGTTTTGTCTTTTACTAACTGATGAATCCATTTGGCATTTTATACTACTATAATTTACCCCAAGATTAAAAATTAGAATGTTGCTTTAAGACCAGCAAATTTTAACTAGCTGGAAATTTGTAGTGACAGTTTTAACACCAAAATAATGGGGAGAGTAGAAGATATTCATCTACCACTACTGTACATAAAGTAACAATATCTTGACATATTTCAGGATATTTTTTAAAGATTACCAAGAGGGAATGATTAAACACAAAAGTTAAAGAAAGCTTTTGTATGAAACATTGTTGAGATCAATAGTAAAGTTTCAAAATCCCAGTAAAAATGGAATTTGTTGTAATGTTCCAATTTGAATTTTTCAAATATTTTATTGGAAAAAATTTCAAACATAAAAGTTGAAAGACTTTTACACTAAACATTCATATAGCCTTCGCCTAGAGTCAAGCATTAACATTTTACTTGACATGCTTTGTATGCATATCTATCCACTTATCTATATCTACTCCCAGCCATTATTTTATTATTTTTGAGGCATTTCAAAGTAAGTTTAGATTACACTGAAAATTTCAGCTTATGTGCCATTAATTAATTTTTACTCTTCGTTTAAGTTTACTTCTAGGTAAAATTTACATGCAAGGAAATGCATAAATATTAAGTGTACCATTTGGTAAGCTTTAACAAATGAATGCCCCTATGCAAAGCAGAACCCTATCAAGGTATAGAACATTATCATTAACCCAAAACATTCTTTCATACTTCTTCCTTAAAATCAACAAAGGGTAGAGGTTCATGGGACAAAGTCCAGGAGAAAACGGACACAAGCTTCCAGGTGTCTTCTCCCAGTGAAGTGACATGGATGTGCTTAATTGTGTCAGCAATGATGTGACAATACCTGTGAAGTGTTGACAGGTAAGCTCACCAAAGCCTTGGTGCCTAGGAATTGTATTACAGAGCAATCATGAGGACATGAAATAGACATGAAAGCATGAAGCACCTGCATCACTGACCTCGGCTGTCCAGATTCCAGCCCTCCAGAGCAAACACATGCGTTCACCAAATAGCACATTGTAAGAATAAATTATTTAATCAGATTGTACCACATGGCTCAAGGTGTCAGACAAACGAAGATGCTCTTTTCAAGCAGAATACTCCAAGCTCATTTCCCAGAAGCCAACCAAAGGCTAATCCTGAAAACAGGCATTTGTAATGAATGTACAGGATCTGGGCATCCAGGCCTATAAATTAATCCTTTCCCACACATTTTCCCATTGGGTTGCTTTGGTCTTTCTCAAAAATGAAAGGACTAATATAAAGTATGGTGTTTTTCTGGATGTCATATACTATTTCTTTTTTTGTCTGTCCTAATGCCAGTACTATTTTGATTTCCAAATCTTTATTTTTTTTTTTTATTTTTTTTTTTATATTTTTTTTTTTTTTTTTTTTTTTTTCCAAAATTGCTTTGAGTATTATAGGACTTTGAATTTACATATAAATTTGAAATTCCCTTTGTAAATTTCTCCACATAGTCATTTTTAATGGTTTCTCTCTGCTTTGATTTCCTAACTTTTCATTCATTCCAAACATATTTTCTTTTATATTATTCAGCATAGTTCCTCTAAAATTTGTATGCTAATTCCAACATCTGGGTTATTTTGTATGCTAATTCCAACATCTGGGTTATCTTAGTGTCCATCTCTGCTGATTATCTTTTCTCTAAAGAATGAACACATATTATTTTTTCCTCATATTGTGAAGTAATTTAGGGTGCACATTGGAGATTGTAAATGTAATGTTTTAGAGATTATGGATTTCATAGTCTTCTGAAGTTTCCTCCCCCATTTAGTCTGCAATTTACTTAGTTGAAATCACACTGCAAAATCTGCCTTTGAATGGTAGCTTAGTTCTTGGCTGAGTTACTTCATTCTTAGAGAAATGCTTGAAGTCTATCACATAAAGTTTTTCTTCTAGAAACCTGGACATAGTTCATAACTTCAATTTGGGCGTCTTCTTTTCTTGCATTTTCTTATGCAATATGTGCTCCCACTAACTGGGAACTATGACTGTCTCAAACTCTTCCCTCTGGTCTGTCTTTCAAATTTGGAAGACTATGCATTTTCTTTCTTTTTTTAATGTTTATTTACTTATTTCGAGAAAGAGAGAGAGAGAGAGAGAGAGAAAGAGAGATCCCAAGCAGGCTCCATGCTGTCAGTTCAGAGCCCCATGCAGGTCTTAATCTCTCAAACCAACTAAGCCACCCAGACACCCCAATTTATCCATTTTCTATTGAAGTTTTGTTTTCTATTCATGCAACAGTCTTGAACTGTCTTGAGTCTAATAGCCAAAGTAAATGAGAGACTTTATTCACGTTTCATTCTTTCAAGTGTATAAACTACCTTCCAGAATCTGTCCATTTGGGATCTTTGGATAGTTTTTTTTTTTAATTTTCTCTTTTACATTTGATCCAGAGTTTATATTTTCATCTGTAATGGGTCATTTAGAGAGGAGCTAAGTTGGCCATTACCAGAAACAAAATCTCTTTTGTAATTTAGGATCATAGATGATTAATAATCTGTTTAAAAGCCTAAATTATTTTTTAGAAATAATTTCTGTAGATGTCTTAGAAGTGACATTGCATAATCTGTAATACTTAGATTTGAAATATATTCCAGGAAAACTTATTAAAAAATACTTCAATCATTCTTACATTCATTTGATGTCTAATCCCACCGAAATTCCCACTAAAATGGAAGTAAATGATTAAATTATGTAATCATTCATAAATGTAATTTCTTATTTACAATTAACCTAAAACATTTATGCATGTAAATGTGGCGATAGTCCATCCTCTGCCTTACTCATTAGCTAATCGAAGATTTTACCAACGGCTGGATATTAGACATGATGTAAGTAAAGAACAAATGTAATGAAAAAGTAAAAGTTGGATTAAGTAAAAGCCTACAGACCAACAGGGAAGAATTCCAGCCTTCTTACCACTGTTAGCTATCAGAATGCTAGAAGTCAGTTAGGTTAACACACAAGATCATATTTAAATCAGACCCATACAAATCAAAGATCTTACCTAATATCAAGATTTACTATTAATTCGAATGATACAAGCAATAAAATAGTTTAGACATTAAAAATCTTGGCAATAAAAATATCAGAAGTAACACTCCAAGTTCCTTTCCATTTGGTCCATTAATCCCAGGTGCAGAATAAATAAGACCACTAAATGAGATTCCACATAGAGGCTCATCCACATAGAGGTAACATTATAGTTATCAGAGATCTCCATATTTTGCCTCAAATACGTTATCCACGTGCCATCATACAGAGAGCAATGTGTCATAGACCCTTGGTTATTATTTACTCTAGATATTATTTACCTAGAAACATACTACCAAAGATATTTGGTATGATAATATTTCATAGTTAAGGTTTCTTACTCCTAGCAAATATCATTAGTCTGTTTACTCACAGTTAAGATTGATCAAGATATAGACCAGGTCATTTCCCTCTTTTCTTTCATTCTTTTGTAAAGTATGTCAAAAGACTGCAGGACTGCTGCTTTTATAATGTTTTCTCAATAAGTTGTCAAGAAGTCACATTTTCCATAGGGGAGCTACAAGTTCACAAACCCAACCTATGCCCATGACCTTTTAATCAGATAGAAAGAGATTTATCTTAAATATAAACGGAGGTTTCCAGATCATAAGATATTTAAGAAATGTCTCTACTGAAAGAGAGCAAGACCAAAACAATCAAAAATAAAAACTAAACTGAATATAAACAGAGGTAATCAAGGGGGTCAGAAAAAAAAGCTTAGAATAATAACCAGAGATAAATGGACATGTTTCACCTGAGAAAAAATGCCAGAATGTAATAATAATAAAAAAATACTCAGAAAATAAGAAACATTTATTAAAAGTAAAAACATTATTACTGTAATTAAAAGAAATCAATAGAAAACTTAGAAGATGAGGTGCCTGGGTGGTTCAGTTGGTTGTATCCAGCGTCACCTCGGGTCATGATCTTACACTTTGTGAGTTCAAGTCCCGTGTAAGGCTCTGTGCTGACAGCTCAGAGCCTGGAGCCTGCTTTGGATTCTCTGTCTCCTTCTCTATCTGCTCCTCCCCACTTGTGCTCTGTTTGTCTGTCTCTCAAAAATAAATAAACCCTATTTAAAAATTTAAAAAATAAAATGAAAAAAGAAAAATTAGAAGATAAGGTTTAGAAAATTATTCAAAAGGAAGAACAAAAAAATTGGGAAATATTACATCCATTTTCCACAAGCAACCCTGAAATTAAGAACGTAAGAAAAAGAAAGGTGATAATCAAATAATGAAATTACTTTAATTAGACATTAAATAAATTCTCCCTCTGTATTATAAATCACCCGGACAATAACAAAAATGAATGAAAAGAATGAATTACTATTGCATAAAAACTTTATATTAAGAAGTTACATAACTAAAAGATGTAATAATCTACACAAAGAAGGCATTAATGGGAGCACCTGGAAGGCTCAGTTGGTGGAGGATGCAATTCTTGTTCTTTGGGTCATGAGTTCAAGCCCTACATTGTGCCTGGAATTTACTTAAAAATATAACAAAGCAATATCAAATCTTTCTGTTAAATACCATGTTTATATAAAAACTCTCTAGATACATCCACGTCATCCAAATGGGACGATTTCATTCTTTTTTGTGTCTGAGTAATATTCCATTCTGTGTGTGTGTGTGTGTGTGTGTGTGTTTGTGTGTGTGTGTGTGTGTGTCTGTGTGTCTGTGGGTGTGCCATTTCTTTACCCATTCATCTATCAGTGGGTACCTTGACTGCTTCCATAATTTGGTTATGCTACAGTTAACATAGGGAGACATGTATCTTTTTGAATTAGTGTTTTCAGATTTTTTTTGGTTAATGCCAAGTGGTGGAATTATTGGATCATACAGTAGTTCCATTTTTAATTGTTTGAAGAACTTCCATACTGTTTTCCACAGTGACTACAGCAGTTTGCATTCCCACAAAAGATGCACAAAGGATCATTTTTCTGCACAGTCTCACCAACACCTGTTATTTCTTGTGTTTTGCATTTTAGCCATTCTGATAGGTGTGAGGTGATATCTCATTGTGGTTTTGATTTGCATTTCTTGATGATTAGTGTGGTTGAGCATCTTTTCATGTGTCTGTTGGACATCTGTATGTCTTCTTTGCAGAAATGTCTGTTCATATCTTCTGCTCATTTTAAAAATTGGATTATTTGGGCATTTTTGGTGTTGAGTTCTATAAATTCTTTATGTATTTTCTTTATATATTTTTGATACTAACTCCTTATCAGATATGTCATTTGAAAACATTTTCTCCCAATCAGTAGGTTGTCTTTTTGTTTTGTTGATTGTTTCCTTTGCTGTGCAGAAGTTTCTTAATTTGATGTAGTCCCAATGGCTGTTGTTTTTGTTTTTATTGTTTTCCCTGTTTTTGTTCCCTTTGCCCTAGGAGACATATCTAAAAAAATGTGCTAGAGCTAACGTCAAAGAAATTATAGCCTGTGTTCTCATCTAGGACTTTTGTGGTTTTAAGCATCACATTTAGCTCTTTAATACATAGCCTTAATATTAAAATGCCCATATTCTCATAATATTGACTAAACCAAATTGAAATAAAATTAGACAATCACAGTATTAGAAATTGGAAAGAATGTGCATGTGTGTGTGTGTGTGTGTGTGTGTGTGTGTGTGTGTGTCTTCCATCTCCATCTTGACTCATAGAGATGTGATTTAATTGTTCCCTCAAGTACAGGACTTTCTTTGTCACATTTTCTTTATCCACAGTTATCACACCACCCTATAGGTACCTATTTATGTCTATACCCTCCATAAGTTGTAAGCCCTTGGAAGGGTATATTGTTA